GTAGCTCACGCCCAAATTGAATCCCAAAACCAGCTTCCACTGAAGATGGCGCAGCTTGGAGTGAAGTCGGTTCAACAACGCAGTTTTCAGCAAAACTGCAATCCAACTGTATGGGTCGAACAAGGGAAGTGAGCACGAAATTTCTCTGAATTTTTCTTGCAAAAATCAGAGGTAGAACTGATCAAGATCATTCCCAAGACTTGGAGATCGAACCAGGGTTTCTGGGTGGCAAGAGTAGAGAGAGAACTAAAAGCAGAGAGTGATCTGAAGCAGTTCGATCTCTCTTTTCTTAAACCTTGAGAAGCACCACTCCTAATTGAATTAGGAGGTTTGTAATCCAAATCTTTATTTGGATCTGGACTCTATTAGTGGATAAGTCTTATCCTCTTATGAGAATGGGTGCTCCAAACCCATATTCGCCCAAGTCACATGATAGCTTAAGTAGTTATGTGACCACTTGATTAATCACATTAATCATGGGCCTTAGGCCCATTAAGCAAGTGGCTCATGTCCCAAATAGATGTTGGCCCATTTAGGTTCAATTTGTATGGTGTGGGACCCCAACAATGACCTTACATAAGCCCACATGGGTTCGACCCAACCTCTATGAAAAGGCCTGGCCGAATTCACTTCTAGATGTAGTGAACCCGAGTCCATCAGTACGGGCTCAAAATGGGCCCAACATTTACAATTAAATGATCCCCGAGTCCAGCCATCCTATGAAGATCCAAGGATAATGGACTTAAGTAAGATACAACCCATCAGGTAAGCAACCCTTAATGGTCTCTTACACTCAACCTCTCAGTCACAATGATCAAACACCGCCTGACAGGGAAGGACCTCTTCCCTGACTGCAAGGTGCAGTGTTGCACTCTTTGCTCGAATGGGTCCCGGGATTAAAACCTTTTGCAAACACTTTTCTTAAAAAATAATATATATATATATATCATATAAATATATTTTGCAAAACAAATCTCAAGCACGGTTGAAATCAACTGCCGACAGTTTTGGTTTCCATCAGAGAGAGTGCAATACCGAACATTCACTTTGTCCAACAAAGGGGCTGGTCCTATCACTATGATCACCCACTCAAGTGAATTCTCAGACTGCCCCAACATACCCAGGTTTTGACCCCCAAAGGATTTCACTGATTGACATATCAAAGAAACCCGATCCGACACCTAGTGCAGTACCATAATCAAGTCTAGGGGTCATGTGTAACTTTCCAGTTTCGCCCATCAGTCTCCATGGTCTAGGGCATAGTTGGAAAATGGATTTCCTTTTCTTTTCTTTCATTTTCTCCTTTTTTTCTTCTCTTTCCTTTTCTTTCCCTTCCCTTTCTTTTCCTTTCCTTTTCTTGTTTTTCTTTTTCCTTTTTTTCTGTCTTTTTATATAAGATGTGCATGAGGCGCATGAGGCGTACGCCTCTAGCATGCCTCGTAAAAAAAGCGCAAGAGGCGAGGTGTCAACGCCTCTGGCATACGCCTCAAGGTGTTTTGGAAGCGCCACGCCTGGAGGCGCACCTCTAGGCATACGCCTCCGATGCCTTTTAAAACACTGGTGTCAGCCTTGGCAGGATAAACTCCCCAAGTCTATCCAATGGCTGAGAACATTCTAAATTAACATGAGTCTCATAAGTGTCCAGTTTAAGGGGTAATTATATAGAAACACACCAATGATAACGTGAAACAATTATGTACTTTTATTCATTTATAATAAATGTATCTGTACATCAATCTGATTGGAGCTAAGGGCGTACACCGTCTAACATTGGTCATATGGTTTGAAGCACCAAAATCATTAATCCAAGGAATTCTACGATTATCTGTGGCCGTAGCATGATTTGTAGAAGCACGAGTACCTGAATGGGCAAATGCGGATAAAGTGGTGTTGCCTAAGGAGGAAGTTGCAATAGTAGTCTCCAAATGATTAATTAACCTCCAATATCTCTCAAATTCTGCCTCCACAACAGATTTTTCTTCGCCTTCTCTATTTCCTCCTTTAGATGCTGTAGAAACATTTGCATTCTTGAGCTTTCCAGACTAACCACCTTTCTTAAAGTTGTTATTGCTGTTCTGAACCTATTTGGGAGAAGATCTGGATGAAGTTTCCAACAAGTATCCTTAGTATGTTTCGACTTCTTGCAGTATTCACATATCACCTCTTTCTTCCTAGTTGGCCCCTTTGGTTTTATTCCAGCATGTGCAAAATGTTTTGAAGGTGGTGGGCCTTGTAATTGTACCTGTCGTTTGCTCTCTTCACTGCTTACCATAGAATATGCTTGAGCAAGTTACTTCATCCTTGGCTAGAATATTTTGTTTTGTAATATCAAACTCAGGGTTAAGTCCTATAAGAAACTCAAACACCTTTTTTCTTTCCACAAATTTTCTGAATGTCTTTGCATCCTTGGTGCTCTCCCATATAACTGCTCCATAACATCAATCTCTAGCCATAGTGACTTCAACATTGAGTAGTAGATGGCTATACTCTTCTCCCCCTGTTTCAGACTTTTCACATCATTCTTCAGCTTGTAGGCCCTTGCAAGCCATCCAGTTTGATTGTAGTCACTCCTGTCAAAATGGAATCTAATGGACCAACCCCAGAATAAGTTTATGAAACACTATCCCAAATCTCCTTGGCTGAAGTCATCCAGTTTGATTGTAGTCACTCCTGTCAAAATGGAATCTAATGGACCAACCCCAGACACCGGGATTTGCTTCATCTCACTTCCAGATTGCACCATTGACCAAATGAAAATAAAAAAACAAGGTTTCCAAACTTTATAGACCTAGCTGAGGTTAGTCTAACACGTAAAAGTCCCAAAGCTAGGGTTTCACTGCACTCTGCCTTTGGGGAGAAAGAGAGAAGAAGCAGCCGTTCCAACCAAAGCTTCCCAAACCTCTTCCAACTGCAACCACCCACTTTTGGAGATCAAAAGGAACCCTCTAAGCCTTGAGCGCCACACCAAACAGTCTCTTCAACCTGTAATTGGAAACTCTCTAGACGGATAGGGTTTTGGGCAAAAAATCAGCAGCCCCATTTTCTTGGCAATCTACAACCATATTTTGACTCTCCAAACCCTCTACCAAATAGGCATAAAAGTTCTTTGAATAATCAGCAACATATCTCTCCATACACTCTTTTAATCGAAGGGTGTATGGGAAAAGAAAAGAAAAAACAAAAGAGAAGGAAGACCTACTCTGATACCAAGATATGATTCAGTGTATAAAAAACAGTAGAAATATTAAAGATTATAGCAGAAGGGGAAGAGAAGAACAAGAAGACAGCAAGAAGATGAAGGAAAGATGGAGAAGAAGAGAGAAAGAAGGAGTTTGATAATCTCCTCTTCCACCTCTCTAATCTTTTATTAATCTTTCTAAGTAAATAAATTACAAGTCTGCCCTTAAGTGGGCGTCCATCTCATTAACATACTTAGAAAACATAAAAAAGGATTAAAGGCCCATTAAGAACAAAACAACAAGGAAGAACTAACAATAAGATAGTAATGGGCTAGGGCTCATTCGGCCTAGTCTCTCTACACAATCAAACTTCAGAAACCTAGAAGTCGAAGGAGACTCAAAAGTGGTTATTTCTTGGACCACTTCTAGAAATAATGTACCTTGGATTTATAGGCATGGCTTTAGAGCGATAGGAAGCCTGAAAGGGGACTTGAATGCCTCTTTTACTTGGACAAGCAGGATGACTAATGGCATGGCCGACACTTTAGCTAAACAAGGGGTATTTAGGCAGCAATTATTTTGGGCTCTATTGTAAATTGTTATTGGCCATCGTTGCATCAGGGCTTTGTATTCTTGGGTTAATGGATATCCACTTTTCTATAACTTATTTCTTTCACCTATTAATATAATTAATCTTTTGCTGATAAAAAAAGCCTATGGTCTAGTGGCTGGGATTTCCTGATTAACATCCAGAGAAGTTGTGATGCAAGTGGATTAAAGATATTTGCAAACAAGTCATTTCTCAGTCATTGTTAATGGGTCAGTGGTAGATTTCTTTGAGGGCATTCGAGGCCTCAAACAAGGTGATCTGCTCTCACCTTTTCTGTTTACTTTGGTGGCTTAGGTTTTTTAGTAGGTTGATCTCAAGAGTCAATAACTTGCAGCTCTTCAGAGGTTGGACAATGGGGATAGATATTGTTTTGGTGACTCGCCTTCTTGATGATATTTTGATCTTTTGTAACCCTTTTGAGATTGTGTCCAACCTAAGTGTTAATTGGGATAAAAGTGTGGTGGCAGGTATCAATCTTGATGAAGGGGTGTTGGGTTCCATGGCAGAGACTCTGGGTGTGAGAAGGGCAAGTGGCCTTTAATATACTTGGGATTACCCCTTTAATATACTCTGGGTTTGCCTTGTATTGGGTTTAACAATTTTTTTTCACTTCTTGTGAAATTGGGAAGGTGAAGTTAGGAACTTTGGGTAGAAAATTTGAAATGAAGAAAAAAATTTTCAAATGCTAAACACCTAACCCTCTGTGACCCAATGGGCACCCTCAATCCAACCCACCCTGACCATTTTCCCCTTATCCTAATGGGTCACTTGACCCATATTGATCCACTATTCAAATGGGTGGGTATGGTTGGATGGGTCAAATGGGTTTGAGTCAAAATTGCCAGCCCTACTAATGACTCTTTATACTTCAATTTGCGTAGTTCAAGTTAATTTCCTATACTTTCTCTGTTAATATTCTATTGACTTTTAAGCTCTTGTATTATATTTTGGTATGCATATGACCCCTTTACCCCCAACACACACATACACAAAACAGAAAAAAAAAACAAAAAGGAAAAAAAAAACAAAAAAGAGAAGATAGGAAGTGTTTTGACCTTAAAAATATAAATTGATTGTAGGATTTGACCTTTAATGAAATGATTTTATTCTATATTGAGTTGTGTGTTATTTAGATTTTGGAATAAATTTATCTCATTAAGAGATCCTCTGGCTTTAAAAGTCTTATAAAATTTAACATTCTGACTTACCAGATATTTGGTCCAGAGAGTAGTGGTAAGACTACACTAGCACTCCATGCGATTGCAGAAGTACAGGTGATGTACTTTTTGAGTTTTACTTTTGCTTTCTAATTCTAGTGTAAGATGATGTGTTTCCTTTATATGGTGATAACTGTATAGAGACCAACCTGATGCATTGCTATGTTGAATTGCACAGAGACTAGGAGGCAATGCCATGCTTGTTGATGCAGAGCATGCTTTTGATCCAGCATATTCAAGGGCTTTGGGAGTGGATGTTGAAAATTTGATTGTTTGCCAACCTGATAGTGGGGAGATGGCATTGGAAAGTAAATAATTATTCTCTGACCTTGATTTCACTGTCTTGGATTTTCTAGTTGATGGATCACATCCTGGATCTGAAGCTTGTTTAGTTGACATGGAATTTTGTACACTATAAATGATGAGATACTTGCCAATAAATGATTTAACTGACATAATTTCGTCTCAGCTGCGGATCGTATGTGCAGATCTGGTGCCATAGATCTCATCTGTGTTGATTCGGTCTCAGCTCTAACCCCACGAGCTGAAATTGAAGTAAGTAATCAAAATTGATCTTTTACTTAAGGTTCCCTCCAGATAACAATATTTCATGCATTCCCTATTGGATTGTTGTTAGGGGGAGATTGGGATGCAACAAATGGGTCTGCAAGCACGCCTCATGAGCCAAGCTTTGCGTAAAATGTCAGGCAATGCCTCAAAAGCCGGATGTACTCTCATTTTCTTGAACCAAATAAGACACAAGGTATTTTTTTAGTTGTTTTAGATGCTCTTTTGCTTGATATGGTCTACTTAGGACGACTTCTAACATCTCGGGCATTCAAAATTCCCAAACTCAGTATTTCAAGTACCGGTGACCTTTGATACTGATACAATACACACGATAACTGCAATACGTATTGATACTTTAAACCTTGGTCTACCAATTGAATACTATTTTTTTGTTATTTTCTTGATTAATTCTGTTAATTAGAATTATTTTTTTTTGAAAATTAATGATAATTATTTATGTTTATTTTTGGTAATTTATCATATTTATCGGAAATAATGTTAATTCGTTTCTGGTAATTTTTTGGACAATTTTTGGTAATTATGACAAATTTTCTTAAATATTGGTAATTTTCTATTGTTTCTATTAATTTTTAGAAATTATCATATTTTTCTGGTAATATTTGTAAATTTTTTATTTTCTTAATTAATCTCTGTTAATTACTATTATTTTTTGAAGATTAATGATAATTATTTTTGTTGATTTTTGGTAATTCATCATATTTGTTGGAAAAAATGTTAATTCATTTTTGGTATTTTTTGGACACTTTTTTGTAATTATGACAGTTTTTCTTAAATATTGGTAATTTTGTATTGTTTCTATTAATTTCTGGAAATTATCATATTTTTCTAGTGAAATTATTTTCTATTAATTTATCATATTTTCTAGTGAGTTTATCATATTATTTTCTATGAAATAAATTATCATATTTATTTTCTAGTAAATTTATCCTATTTTCCAGTGACATAGTAAATTATCATATGAATTTTCTATCTGAATTTTCTAAGCGAATTTATTTTTAATTAATTAAATATATTTTTAGTTAAGTAATTTAATATAATTAATTTGTTAACCCTTATGAAATAATTAAACTTACTATTCTGTATTTCTATTTTAACTTATATAATTAATATATTTTAATCATCTGTAATTGAAATATCTTATTTGTAACCGTGTATATATTTTAGTAATAGTAATAATAGATGATCAAAAAAAAAAATTTTAGTAATAGTGCAAACATGCTTTCACATGTATAACACGTGTAACTATGTATGTTTTAGGAATAATGTTATTTTAGTAATATTTAAACATGATTACACATGTATAACGCATGTAACCATGTATACATTACATGTTTAACACTTTAACCGTGTTGAGTTATTTTGTTATTTATACACGGGCCGATGCCAGCCTGTCATATAATAATTGAATTCAAAAACGGGTTGGTGGCTTGATGTCAACCCGTATTCTCTCATCTTCTTCACCCGATTGTTAAAACGGGTTATTTTACAACAATTTTTTTTCTTTTTTTTTTGGTTTTCTTTATAAATATTTTCTTCATAATCACATCTACGATGTTTGCACTACATTTTGGAATTCAAAAAATGGAGGAAATGGTAGTTTGTATCTGGATTCAAGAACAAAACGAATTCTTAATGCCTGCAAAGTGGTGTCGCCCCCTCTTTTTTTGTCCAAGACAGTGCCTTTCCGCCCCTATTATTAGTCCAAAACAGAGATATTTAATGTGGGTTTGGAATAGAGGAAGAATAAAGGAGATGGGGAAGGGGATATTACCTGTTTGGGCAATGACTTATTGACCTTCCACCCCTGTTTTTTGTCCAAAACAGAGTCATTTCACTATGGTTTTTCGTCCAAAATAAGAGTATCAAAGAGAGTTCAAAGGAGTTGGGGAAGTTTGATCGTGAAGAACAGAAAAGAGGAGTTGGGGAAATTCTGTTCAGCCGCTTCTTTTTGTCAAAAACCGAGAAATAATGTGAGTTGTGATGGTGAGAAGTGGTTTCCTAGTTGGGCACGATTTAGGAGAGGTTTGAGACATGATAAACCTCTTAGAATTGTGATGAAGCATGGCTCTATGAAAGCCATCAGATGTGGCCAATAACAAATCAAATTCAGGAAGTTAATTGGTTAGAGATAAAATCACTAAAATAATAAAAATATCAAAAGAAGGAGAAAATTTCTAGACTGCTTTGTTTTAGTATATATATAGATAGATAAGTCTGTTCAGTTATGGTGACAATCTATGCATTTCTATTTCTATGGACTGTTAACTGTAATTTTATATGCTTGTCTCTAGAGCAATAAATCAGAGTATCACCATAATCCTATATGGATGCCTGTATAAAAATTCTTTTAGGTGCCATGCATTCTTGGCTGTGCCTCACATTTTACCTATATGGTTCTAACTTCTTATAAATGATGTATAACTTCCTTAAGTTGCAATTATCTCTCATTTGATGGCCAATTTATTATATGTGCATTTTGTAAGATTGGGGTGTTTTATGGGAATCCTGAAGTTACCAGTGGAGGAATTGCTTTAAAGTTCTTTGCTTCACTTCGTCTTGAGATACGCCCTACAGGGAAGATAAAGTCTGTAAGCCCAAAGGAACCTGAATGCTTAGAATACTTACAAATTAATAGCTGGTTTATTGAAAGTTTCGCTTGAATCTGGCTCAATAAGTAATCATAAATTGTTGCAGGTTAAAGGTGATGAAGATATTGGGGTTAGAGTACGTGCCAGAGTGCAAAAAAGCAAGGTAAACCTAATATACTTGAAACATAGCATCTATGCCAAGAGTAACACCTGCAAATCCTGAAAATCCTGGAGTTGACAATAATATTCACTTTTTTTTTGAAAAGATTTTAGTTTATAGTTTGCAAGATATGATATAAAAAAGGCCATTATCCAATGTTGGTCCCAGTTTATGACATAAAAGTTATAAAATATAATTTGTTGGTTCATACTTATCTATTATGTTCCTTGGTTCTTTTTCTTTTTCTGATTTGTTTTGACATAATATTTACAATTCCCAAAAGTTTTATCTTCTGCCTACTTAGTAAAACAAATAGACCTACCTTGGATTTTAATAAGAAAATCTTGTGAGTGTTGGTCTTGTATTTTGCAATATGGAGAGCGCTTTCATTTAGTTTGATTGATAAGACTAATGATGGGCTGAATGCAGTGCTAGAACAATGGAAAGATGCTTTCTAATAAAATTGTTTCAAGTTAAGTCAGACTAAGAGTACATGCATTGCAATTTTTGTGAAAATACTAGTAAAAATGGTTCTGTAATTAAAATTTGTGATTTAGGGGTACTCCATAGTTACCACATCTGGTACCTTGGATTGATTATCTATAATGAGGGAAAAGTTGATGATGGTGTATGTAGTATTAGAGCAGCATGTTTAAGTGGAGTGATGAATTTCCTGTGTCCTATACTTTTGGGTAGTGAATATTTTATTAGATGAAAAGAAAACGAGTATGAGGGGTGGGTGACGAGGGATCACCTAGATAAATCAAGAATCCCCCCCCCNAAATCCAGTTCTAAAACTGACAAAAAAACCGAATCCAAAAGAGTTTTACAATCATCTGCAAATTCTGGAAGAATCATAACCCAATCAAAAATCCTTTTACCAATGATTGATACAAGATGGGCATGACATCTGTGTTGGTATGCAAAAATTGTTCTCTCTCTCTCTCTCCTTCCACAACTGCCAGTAGATTGCAAATGGCACACAAGTCGAAGATATCTTTGTCTTCATGCTTCCATTTAGGACTGGACAAAATGCAAAAATCTCATTGGAAAGAGAGTTTGATTTGAAAGAAATAAGGGATGCCATCTTCTCTATAGATAGATCTAAAGCCCTGGGCCCTGATAGTCTCACGATGGCTTTTTATCAAGATTGTTGGGAGATAATTAAGGCTGATATCCAAAGTGTTTTCTCGGAATTCTTCGAAAGAGGGGTGATGAATCCAGGTTTGTACTCTACCTTTATTGCCTTAATTCCAAAAAAGGAGGGAGCTTGCCACCCTGAAGAGTTTAGATCCATTAGTTTGGTAAATAGCCTCTATAAGGTCATTGCTAAGGTGTTATCTTGAAGAATTAAAGAGGTGCTTCCCACAATCATATCCTCTAATCAAGGTGCTTTTGTGAAGATTAAACAAATTGTAATAGCAAATGAGAGTGTAGAGGATTTTAAAAGAAGAGGGAAGAAAGGGCTGGTATGCAAATTGGATCTGGAAAAGGCTTATGATTTGGTTGTTTGGTCCTTATTGCTAGAAGTACTAGAGTTCGTGGGTTTTGGGCAGAGGTGGTGCAAGTGGATAAAAGGGTGTATTAGAACGTGCCACTATTCTATACTGGTGAATGGGAGGGTGACATATCATTTTCCAGCTACAAGGGGTATTAGGCAAGGGGGCCCCCTCTCCCCCTTCCTGTTTACCTTGATTGCTGAAGTGTTAGGGAGGCTTATTGAGAAAACAGATGCTAGAGGATTGGTAAATGGTTGGAGAGTTGGGAGGGACAGGGTTCCGATCACTCATTTACAATTTGCAGATGACACAATTCTGTTTTGTGGTGGGAAGGAAATTCGGTGGGTTAGTAATTTAAAGATGGTGATCAAGGTTTTTGAACAAGTGACTAACCTCAAAGTAAACTTTGATAAGAGTTGTGTGATTGACATCAATATGAGTGTCAGAGAGGTGGAAGAAAGGGCCCAAGTTTTGGGATGTGAGATTGTTCAATGGCCATTGAAATATCTGGGGTTTCCACTAGGGGATAACCCTACCAACAGGAGCTTTTGGAACCCGATGATTGATAGATTCACAAAAAGACTAGCCTCTTGAAAAGAAAAACTACTTTATCTTTGGGTGGTAGGATAACTCTCATAAAGTCAACCTTGGCAAACCTTCCAGTTTACTTTCTGTTTGTGTTTAGAATTCCTGAGGGAGTATGTAGGATTTTGGAGAAGTTAATGAGGGATTTCTTATGGGAGCCAGGGGAGGAGAAAAGGAACCAAAGAGTTAGGTGGGACTTGGTTACAAAAGCCAAAAGTGATGGTGGTCTGGGTGTGGGTAACTTAAAGAGGAAGAATGAAGCTCTTTTGGGGAAATGGTTGTGGAGATTGAATAAAGAAAGGGAGAACTTGTGAACTAAAATAATCCTAAGTATTCATGGGCAAGAGGCAGACGTCTGGGACACGGGGATCTCATCTAGGGCTACAAGGGCGTCTCCTTGGAAGTCTATTCATGCATCCTTCCTTCTTTTCTTCCTTTTATTAGGTATGACCTTTGTTCTGGTACGTCTGTGAGGTTCTAGGAACATATTTGGGTGGGAGACATTACTTTGAAAGAGCAGTTCCCCTCTTTGTTTTCCCTCTCAAGGTTTAAAAATGAGCCTGTAGCTACCTTTCTTACTTTGTCTGATTCGGTAGTTAATTGGAATCTGGGTTTTAGAAGGGCTCTCAGAGATTCTGAATTGGCTTCCATCTCTAACTTGCTTAAGATTCTGGAGGAGGTAGTTATTGACCCCTCTAGAGTGGACAGTAGGATGTGGTCTCTTGTTTCGTCGGGTATTTTTTCTTGCTCTTCTTTTTTCAAAGAATTAACATAGTCCAATCCGATCCTAGGTTCTCCTTTCCCAGTCTCAAAAGTTTGGGGTAGACCAATCCCTCCCAGAGTAGGTGCCTTTTGCTAGGAAGCTATCCTAGAAAAGTGTTACACTTGTGACTTACTTCAAAAGAAAAGGCCTAATTGGTGTTTATCCCCGCACTGGTGCATTTTATGTAAGAAGAATGGTGAGAGCTGTTATCACCTTTTAGTTTCTCGCCCCTTTGTAGCAGAAATCTGGTGTTGGTTTTTCTCTCTTTTTGGTTGCAGATGGACCCCCCCTCCAAGTGTGCAGAGCTTATTTAGTACTACATCAGTGAGGGGTTTAAAAAAGAGTGGTAAACTCCTATGGAGATGTGCTAGAGAAGCTGTTTTCTGGAGTGTGTGGGAGGAAAGAAATCAAAGAACTTTTCATGAGAAAGAAAGAAGTAGGGAAGCTATCATTGAATTAATATATGTTAGGGTGGGTCATTGGGTCAAGTCTATGAAGATATTTGAAGGTTGCTCAGCAGGAGACATCATTCGAAAGTGGGAAGAAGTGGCTTGGTCTGCTCCCTTGACTTCTTCTCCCAATCCAGCTTGGACTCCACCAGCTTCGGGATACATTAAATTGAACTTTGATGGTAGCAATGAAGGAAATCCAGGTCCTTCAGGTATAGGTGGAGTGTTCCAGAATGAAGAAGGTCGAATTATTGCCATGTTCTCAGCACCTATAGGCTGGAGGGATTCATTGAGAGCTGAAATTTTGGCAGCTTTGGAAGGGATCAAAAGAGCCAAGCAGTTGAAAATCAGAAACCTGTTGGTGGAAGGAGATTCAAGGCTGACAGTTAACTGGTTGCAGGAGGAAGATTCTAGCATGTGGAAGTTCTCAAATGAAAAAAAGAAAATCAACCAGATTACTCGAAACATGCAAATTCAGGTTCAGTGGGCCAAGAGGTGTGCCAATTCTCTGGCAGATTTTTTGGCTAAACAACGGGTGGGAAGAGAAAATCTTTTTTGGGCTGTATTGTAATATGATCCTTATTGCTAGGGGGGGTAAGCGTTTTCACCCCTCCCTTATACTGTATCTTTCTTTAATCTATTTCAATAAAAGTTACTGTTATTGATAAAAAAAAGCAAAAATCTCTTTTGGTGACCTTGGAAACCACATCTCTATTTTGAACAGGGAGAAAATAATCCCAATAATCTTCACATATCAGCTGGCAAAACATAGATGCAGAACATCTTCATCCGGTGTGTCTTATAACCAGATCGTACAAATAAAACTGAAAGGAAATTTTAATCCGATGGCTATAAAACAAGCAATGTTATATGTTACTCAGTGCTAAGAAATAATATGTTTAGAAAAATAGTGTAGTTGAGGAGGATGAGTGGAGAAAATAAGACAGAACTAGAAATGACTTCATTAAAGAGAATCAAGGAGTAGCCCCAATTAGTGGCAGGATTAAAGACAGTTTCTGGTTACACTCATGACTCCCTGTAAGATTGTCATGTGCATGGACAACCAATGACTGGCAGTAAGGAGTGACTTGGTGCAAGTAGAAGATTCTAAAAGAGCGTAGGAATATCAAGAAAGCATGGAATTGGGATTTTTATTTTTAACTCACTTGCCCTGTTTTTATTATTAGGAACACTTCATCATCCTTAAACCACACATGGTGGACATGCAAGGCATCTATGTATCCAAAAAAAGCTACAATCTAATTTACTGTTGCTGTACTTTTCTATTAACATCTGTTGGTGTCCTAGCAACTAGCAAGAAGCTTTGTACTAAAACTTACAAAAAAAGCTTCATACAATATCACTAGGATTATGTAGAGATTTTTTTTTTTTGGGAGTTATTATAGCTTTAGAGTTGATGAACAAGAATAGAGAATAGAGAAGAAGATGAAAAGGATAATAGGAAACATGGATAGGTCATGTCTGACCATCCATGCACTTATTTTTTTAGATCAACTATATTGGAAGAATATGTACTTCTATCCTTTTACGATATAGCAATGACTTGGCATGTATAAATAACCATTATTACCCATTATGCCCTAATATGGACTTGTTTGGGCTTGCCTTGAGGGGCGTGGCACAAAGGCGGCTCTTAGATTCAGGAATGTAATATGTTTTACATCACATTAGCTACTCGAAGTAATG